ATAGCCCCATTTTTCAATCATTCGAAAACGCTTCGCATGCCAAATATGAGTTTCCAGCCAAATCTGTTTTCTCTGTCGCCTGACGTAGTTCTAAAATTTCGATTTTTTAAAAAAACCTGTTTTTTTCCGATTTTCTTTAAAAATTTCGACTCAAAATTCCGATTTTCTTCCCAAACAAGTTCTATCTAGGAAATTTTTACCAAAAGTAAATTTCGTGGTCGTCTCCTCCAGAAACGGCTAGGCGCTTTCTTACGATGCTTTGAAGCAGCAGTGGCTGATTTTGCGAAACGGCGCTGTGCACGTGGTAGTCGCCGTACGTTATATGACATCGCACGACGTCGCATGTGACGTGGCAATCGTTGTATTGCTGTACGTGGTCCTTTGGTGACCTCGCCGCTTACCAATGAACGATTATCGATAGCCTTGAAAAATGCAAAATTTTTGAGCTCTGCTCGTAATTTGTGGGCCTCTTAGGGAAAAAAGCAAATAAAAAGGCAAAAAAGTTCGCAATATTTCCAGGCCAGATTTTCAATATAGTAGCAAACAAAAACACCAATCGGGAGATTCAGTACAGGTCATGTGAAGGTTCCAGTCATTTTTTCGTGATCTGAGAACGGCAATTCTTAAGCACGCACAACAAGGACATATCGAAACAGCTAAAGTTTTGCCAAATCCTGCTTTTAATGAGATACTGTTGAGCTGCTGATCCATTTGGGAGATAAAGTGGACTTCAGAATCGTCCGTAAGCTGATTAGCAAGCAATGTAGCATTGGCTAAAGTGACTGGAAAAATTGCCAGCTGCACAAATGGTAAATCAGATCATGAATTACACGTGATCCAGGTACCCATGTGAGTATCCTTTAACAATGATTATATAATTCCCAAAAAGATCATTAGTGCACTGTGGTTTCGGTAGCCCATCATGCACAATACTACGGTGATAACAATCACCTTTGGAAAAGAGTTGAAATTACCAAATTACCAAGAATACCAAGGTCGTCCGGACAATTACCACCAGTATGGATATCCATGTAAGTGATTATGTTACAGCAACGTTTCCATTTCAGGCCCAGCTACGCCAGGCCCTTCGATCCTGGGCTGCATAACTCCAGTCAGTGCTCGATGCTTGTTCAAAGTATGCGCGTCATCCCTTCAGGATTCGTCCGAATGGTTGCTTATTTTCTCGCAAGTACCAGTCAATACTGCACAATATCTACTGATTGTTAGTAAAAAAATAGGGAAAGTCCAGTAATGCAGACGGGCTTTTATAAGGCAATTTCCACTCTCACTGTACAATCAGGGGTTATTAGTTCACTGAAAAAGAGATGGATTTAACCTGAATTAATTCAGCAATTTGCTTCACTCGTTTCTTGACATAATCCACAACATTAACATCGCGTGGCCGCTCGCATTCGCCACTCACATTTTCATCCATCGCTGCACAATGAGAGTTGTCGGTTTACTGAGAAAAAGAGATCGGCATCACTATAATATATCATTATAATATGTCGAAATCACTATAACATACCAAGGTCTTCGCACAATCAACACGAACAAAAACGTAACACAGCTAATCCTGACTTCTAAGCCTGGCACAGAACTGATCAGGCAAGAATTTCTCTCAAGCCCATGAAAAATTCCACCAGGAAAAGTACCCTTCAAATCATATTTTCAATACTTTTCAATCTCAGTATCATCATTTACCGGGCCGTAGAAATTTTAGAATATGAAGGTAAGGAAACTGTGCGTCGAAAAGCTATGAAAAGCATCCGAAATCTATGAATTACTTCTATGCTATGGTCCAACGACGA